GCAGTGATCACTTCTGGATAAGAAAACAGGGAAATTAAGGGATGGAGAAGGAAGGTTATTTTTCATGGCATACACTTTTGTACCTTTTGAAAGATACAGCCAAATGTATGTTTTGTGTCTATTATTACAAAAATTTTTTTCTAATGTTTATTTATTTTGAGAAAAAAAGAGAGAGCAAGCAGGGGAGGGGCAGAGAGAGGGGGAGACATAATCCCAAGCAAGCTCTGCACCATAAGCGCAGAGCCCGATGCTGGGCTAGAACTCACAAACTGCAAGACCATGAACTGAGCTGAAATCAAGAGTTGGATGCTTAAATTCATTTCACTACAGTGTGACGGTTTAGGTTAATCTACTCATCCCAATTCTGGATATTCTAATTGTATAGTTAGAGGACGTATATGATCAATGAAAAGGAAGGCACCATCAGTAGGAGAACACCTCATGTTGTGAGGAGAAAATTTTTGCTTTGTTGACATCTAAAGAGAGTCAAGGGTATATTAAGGACAGAAACACAAAGAACAGCCTCAGCTATTGCTTTTTAGAAATTGACTTCAGGGCGCCTGGGTGGCTCAGCCAATTAAGTGTCCTACTTCTTGTGGGTTTGAGACCCACGTCAGGCTCTGTGCTGACAGCTCAGAGCCTAGAGCCTGGAGCCTGCTTCGGATTCTGTGTCTCCCTTTCTCTCTACCTGTCCCCTATTCTCACTCTGTCTCTGTCTCTCTCTCTCAAAAACAAATAAACATTAAAAAAAAAAAAAAAAGACAGTAAGATACTTCTTACTTGATCTTCTGGTAATGGAAGATCCAGAACTCTTGACAATTTAATGAAGGCCTCCATATAAAGCATTCAAACCTGTACCTAACCTCTTCTCCTCTGGATGGACCCACACAGACATATATGAAATTCCTGGGACTAACAAAATTCCTGCATACTGTGCCTATGGTTAGAAGATTAAATGAGATGGCAATAAATTCATAAGAGAGATCAATGTGTTGTGTACATGTAGCACCAGCTGCCCTATTAATTAATTGGCTGGGTATAACTGAATATTTGAAGTTAAAAATCTCGAGTGGGAAGGATTTTTTGTACATAATCACGAATAACATCTCCCAAAGTAGCTGGCTTACGATAAACAGGATATTGCCACTGGACAGGTATGGAAATGGGCAAAAATTAGAAATACTCAAGCAATTTAACTCACATAGGAATAGCAAATTAATACCTTTAAAACTGTCCTCCGTACTTTGAACAACGTAATAGACATTTCCTCAACAAATATTTGCTGAGCATCTAATACGCATGAGACTTTTATAAGTGCCAAACATCTCCCATCAGGAAAGAGTACCTTACAGACTAGTCTAACCAAGAATAATGAGGGAGTAAAGGATTCAGGCCAAGTTCACAATACTGTCACCAAAAGCTCTGTCTCCAGCCCAAATATTTTTATTTAATATTCTTTGCTGTACTTTGTAGTACAGAAGACAGTACTGGAATGTAACTTGATTTTCTGCTTAGGAAACAAGAGCCTTACTGGGTAACTACTACTACTGCTAGTAGTAGTTCCCAGATTTCTGAGTTTCAGGGGCCAGTAGAATGACCACAAAAAGGGCTGGGTTTTTTTTTCCTAAAAATATGAAAAAGCAAAACTACCTGGTTCACTGCCTTCACTTCATATGCTAATATTTTAACAATAAAGGACATCTCTCAAAATTTAGGAACTGAACAAATTTAGTTGCAAGAGAAACAGAACATTTTTCCTATTTTTCCCCCCTCATTTTACTGAACATGAGTGAAAAATTTGTAACAGACCAATATATGAGAATCAGTGTAAAGTAAAATGAAAAGATCATGGAGTTAAGAGTCCAAGGGACCTGGTTTCAATTTTTATGACTGCAGGTTAAGACACTTAACCACTCTGAGCCTCAGTTTCCTCAGGGATATGATCTCAGAAGTTTATGGAAGGATTAAACGTAACTTTACATGAAGTACTTGGCATTAAATCTGGCACCTAGAAGGTGTTCAACAAACATAAGCAACTTTCTTTGTTAAAATAAATATTGGGACTTTCACTTCCGGTTGTAACAGAACCAGACTCCTACTGTACACAACCACAAAACTATATGAATACATGAGGATCTCCCACTCAGGGTGTGAATTCCCACCTGTGGCACAATGAGCTAGAATCTAAGTGTTGCAGGAAGGTCCCACTGAGCTGAGACTAGATCAATGTTTGGAGCAGATAAAACAGCTAGCGGCCTTGAGTCAGGGTACCAGAGAGGGAATATGTGCAGATCAAGTAACCAGGAAGGGACAGAAGTGTATGTGGGGGTCACCTGTGGATGAGTTCTTGGCTAAGGGCTGGGCTGCACATGCAGAGTTTATTTACCAGACTTGTCTCCAAGGTTACCAGAGAATGGCCACTATGGAATCAAAAGTGGCACAGAGATACTTGAGGTCCAGTAAGCAGTGCTAGAGGACTGGAGTTTCAGTCAAGATAGACACCCAGCTGATTTAGCACAAGGGCCATGACCATGCATCTTTTTTTTTTTTTAAAGTTTATTTATTTTGAGAGAGAGAGCATGCATGCACGAGAGAGGGGGAAGGGCAGAGAAAGAGGGGGAGAGGTTCTGAACTGTTAGTGCAGAGCCCGATGCAGGGGCTCAAACTCACAGAACTGTGAGATCATGACCTGTGCCAAAATCAAGAGTCAGATGCTTAACCAAGTGAGCCCCCATGACCATGCATCTTAAAGTAAGCCTTCTTCTTTTAGATCTGCCCTAACAAGGGTGGGGGAAGGCCACCATAGCCCAGAATAGCATATGAAGCCCAAATGGGGGAAGGAGGGCAATTATGCAGAGCTGGATGGCAATGGCAACAGCAGCAAAAGAATGGTTGCATACAAGGAAGTGATCAAATAAGTAAATATATTTAGGATAATGAGAATCAGATTCATCAGAGAAGTTACAAATATGCAAAGGGAGAAAACGAGAGAAGCCTGTGGTATTGGATTGGAACTGGAGAGATTATTGTAAATGCCTGGTTTTCAATATTTCTTTCAGTATGTTATCTATAGACAGATATAAGATATAGATCCACTGAGAGGGCCTGGGATTAGTGACATACCAATAGCAACAAGCACACCTAGTATCTTATTTCTTAACACTAATCTCTACTAAAATGGAACCAGGCTCCTTAGAGAAATGATTACTTTCAGGTCTAGAGCAGAGGAAAGTCCAAGACGTGCCCTAAACATCTCTGATGGAACAAGGAATTGTTCAAAGAATGATGAGGACATGAAAATAACAAAGCCTGAAGGGACTCCCAAGAGTCAAAGCTAGAACTATTCGAGCACAGGTATAATGGGCCTCCATGCATACATACTGATATAAACAAATGAATAAATTGAATGTGTGATAGGGAACAGGATATTTAATAGCTTAGAGTACCTCCCCACAAAATACTTATTGATTATAAAGAGTAAAAGAGTAACTTCACAGTAGAGAAGTCTTGTAGACATCACCTTAATCAAGTGATCAAAACTAACATCACCATCTATCAAACAAATCAAAATCACATACCACTTGGTAAGGTATAATGAAAACATGTGAGTTCTGTGATATTCCTGTGAAAGATGCAACCTGAGTCCAATCATAAAGTAAATCAGATAGACCAAATGGGCAGATATTTAAAAAATAACTGGCTGGTAATCTTCAAAAGTATCAAGATCGTGGAAAAAAAACCCTGAGAAAACATTCCAGACTGAAAATGAAAAGATACAACATTCAAATACAAGTGTTGGAACTGGATCCCTTTGCTACAAAAGGACATTACTGGAACAAGTGTATCTCAGTTTCCTCATCTGTACATCATGAAGTAGATTTATTGCTTCCAATATCAACAGAGAACTCAAAGAAGTTTTTATAAAGACAAACAAAAAACTAGAACAGTATTTCAAAATATAAAAAGATCTCCATTGGTATTCTGACCATGCTTATAAAGAAAGACAACCATAGACATCTACAGTCCTTAACCAAAATTGAATTCATTAAATTTTAAGGAAAAAGTGTTAAGGAAAAAAATGTTACATAATGCCTCTATAAATTGTACAATCACACAATACAATATTTAATCTAGCAATATCAGCTGATATGGACAGAAGTCAAGATTTTGTTAAACAGAGAAAGGAAAATTTAGCCCAGTATATATAACACATATTCCCTTTTGTATGTGTGGTTGCATATATGTGTAAGATAGCCATATATACGGGCCTGCATATGCAGAGGAAATTTCTGGAAGGATACATAGGAAACTGTTGACAACGACTAGTTCTGTGAAATAGGAATAGATGGTCTTAAAGGAAATAGGACACTTTCCTCTCCATCTTCTACTTGTACACTCAGTTCTCAACAAGAAATAACAACAAAAAAAAAAAAGGTAAAGTTATCCTTGGCAAGTAAGTACATAGAGCACCCAGATAATGGTTTCTAACTACCATTCCTACCTTAAATGAAACTCCTTGTAGAAATGGCTGATTCTACATGTGGATCGGAGTTAAGTACAAAGTGAGCTGTGGACATCTTGTGCCAGAAAGCAAAGAAGTACTCAAAAACTAAGGCAGCAATGTGCAAAGGACGATGCTAGTGTGATAGGGATCCCACCGGCCAAATGTGAGATACCTTGAACATTAGTAAGAGACACTGGAACTAAAGAAACTAACAAGAAAAGCAAAGAAGTTATTATTACAAGAGCCAGGGCAGCAGTTAATTACAGGGGAGGGAGAAAGCACACAGTGGTTTGCTGGAATGCTGATGATGTTCTATTTCTTGACCTGGAAAATAATTACATGAATATCTGTTTCATTATTAGTTAAGAGACCATACATATTTGTTGTGTCCACTTCTTAATATGTATGTATTTCCCTAATTTAAAAGCAAAAACATAAGGTTTCAGGGGAAAAAAGGTAAAAACAGGCTTTTAGAAAGAAAATTACAGTATGTTACCTGCAAGAGTATGTAGGTTCTCCTACTTTAAAAACACGACCACAAAGATGAGAAGGTTTGTTTGCTTGCTCAAGTTTTGGAAATCCAAACGCAGGATCTTCACCACAAAGGTACCATTCCATTGGTCCCAACAAAAGATGCTGTGCCAGCATGTCTTCCTTCTGTGGAAAAGGGTTGGGACCCCTGCAGTAGATTTTGGGTACATAGTGGGCTAAATGCTGGTACACTTCTCTAGTGAGGTCAGTTGCTTGCAGCCATTTCTTTAAAAAAGAAAAAAGAAAAAGTAGGTTTACACAATGTCAAACTGCTCATTTGAATAAACCCACTCTCTATTCTTTTAGGCACAAAAATAAGGATAAAAAGAGTCCTATAAATTATTTCGTTGGCATCACTCATAACTGTATACTCTTTCCCAAAAGGGCAAAATTCATTAGAACTTGATAAAAATGCCAAGTATTTCAGAATTCTACTTAGAGTAAAATGATCCCCTCTCCTCAAAATGACTCTTAAAGCAATCTTCTGTAGGCAGTTCACATGCAAATGACCACCACAGATCATCATGACACTAGCCATTGAGCCCATCTGACTTCCTTTCTACTGCTTTGCTCAAATGATATACTGATTGTCTTCTGAATTCTCTTGTCAGTTTGCTGATAGGAAGAGTATGTATGCAGTGAACATGAATAGCCAATATGCCACTTACACTTCTCATTGATTAATAAACCAGTCTCATGAGTATCAGTCTACAAGAGGCTTTGTTCTATCAATTATGCCTTCTTTCCCTGATCAAACTCTCTATAAGCCCTTTTCCCTTCGCTCTCCCTGATGGAAACAAACAAAAGCCACTTTTCTGTTCTAAACTTTTATGTCCAACTACCTGGATAATTATACTTAGATATCTAACAGATACTGTGATATCATGATTTATAGTAAGAAATATATATTTGGTCTTCTTCCCATTCCTGGCACAGAGCTCCTAAAATTTCTGAAATTTCCTAAGTGGTAAGTGATATAAAGATGAAAGGAGTATCTTTTATTATTCATAACAATCTCCTTTCAACCAAGCTAGAGCTGGGGTTAATGAAGTGACTTTTGGAAAACCCCTAAAGATGGACAGCTGGTTACCAGAGGGAACGAAACATGTGATAAGGTTGGAAATTACAGCTCCCACCCCCAAACTTGGGGAGGGGTGAGGGGCTGGAAGATGCACTAATCATTAATGGCCAATGATTTAATCAATTGCACTTATGTAATGAAGCCCTCATAACAAAATGTCTATATGTCGGGGTTCAAAGAGCTTCCGGGTTGGTGAACACCCGTAAGTACTGGTGCATTCAGAGACAGCATGGTAGCTCTGTTCCCCTTCCCACATACCTTGCTCTACGCATCTCTTCCATCTGCTATTCCTAAGCTACAGAATTTTACAATAAGCCAGTAATCTAGTAAATAAACCATTTCCCTGAGTACTGTGAGCCCTTCTAGCAAATTATTGAACTCGAAGGCAGGGTCATGGTAACCCTCGATTTGTAGCCAAGTCAGACAGAAGTTCTGGGCAACCTAGGGACCCACTGCTTGTGACTGGCAGCTTAAGTAGTGGGGGGCAGTGTTGTGGGACTGAGCCCTTAACCTGTGGGATCTGATGCTAACTCCAGGTGCATAGTGTCAGAAGTGAATTGAATTGTAGGACACCCACTTGGTGTCTGTAGAGAATTAGGGAATGGCTAGGTATGGGGGGAAAAACTCACATTTGGTGACCAGAAGCATTGGTAAGTGTAGAGAGAAACAGAAGAAACAGCTACTCCTGATTCAAACACCAACTCACTATGTCTAAAACTGAACTCATCATCTCCACTATCCTTTCTCAAAAACCGGCATTTTCCTCACTTCCCTATTTTACATACCAGCATCTACCTAAGTATCCACACCAGGAAAACCTGAAAATCCTCCTTTTTCCTCAACCCAACATCCAATTAATCATGTCTTGTCTACTAGGCTTCCTAAATAATCTGATGAATCCATCTCATTTCTTTATCTATCCATCTCCACAGGCACTACCTCTGCTACTCTATCCCAAAACCCCCACTCCCATCTTTCACCATTATTAATGCAAGAAGGTCCTAACTGGTCATTTCCACTAATCTTGCCCTTGTACAGTCCATTTTTCAGCCTCCCTACCAGCATGATTCTTGCAAAATGTCAATGAGATCATGTCATTCAGCTTCTCCTTGTATTTAGCATCCAGTCAATTCCCTCAACGTGGTTTATAAGGTCCTTTGTCTTGTATCATACTTGTTTCCTCCTCCTGACTTGTACTGCTTCTCTCTCTGCTTTTCAGGCTACTTTCTACTCATTCTTCAGTTCTCAGTTTATGTTTCACTTTCTCTAAGATGCCTTTCTCAGCCCATTCCTCACTCCCTCTGCCTTTCCCACTTCCCCTGGGTCTAACACATAACCCGGCTGCAGTGGGCATTTAGTAAAATCTGTTACCTGAATGACTATAAATATGTTTATACTACTTACTGTCCTATAACATTGACACTGCAGAAAGATGCTCTATGTAGCTTTAATGAAAGCAGAGATAAACTAGATCCAGGCCTGCAGTCTCTAAAAACCAAACCAAATAAGCCCTAGATAAGGCATCCTTCAAACTACCTCCTTTCTTTTCCCTTTGTGTTTCCTTACATCTTAAGTCTTTCCCCTATATTGTCATTTATCCCTGCCAATTCTGCAATGTTTCTTTGTCCCCCATGTTGCTTTGTGTAATTGCAACTTATTCTGGCTCTCAACCAGGTAAGCATTTAAAATCAGAATACATGAAAGCACTCACTTCTACAAAAATGCAGTTAACTGAACTGCTAACTCATAGGTCCAATGTTTACTTATGGATTACAACTAAAGTTCATGTACATCCTTGTTAAGAGTTTACATTCTAGTAAGGTCTAACACCATAAGACAACAGTATAAGGTCTTCGTTTTAACTATTACTTGTACAATCTTTACCCACTCCCTTCCCTCTAAAAATAACTACATATAGATATTTTAAATATACATGAGGACATATATATTAACTTTCTAATCAACCTCATATTTTCATGTGTACTAAAAATGTAAAAACTTTGTTAGTAAATTAAGGGATTGAATTGAAGCTTGTGACAGAACACAGTGGAAAAACTTTTCACCCCTAAAGTGAAACTATCTTTTCCAAATGTTACCAACTTAGTTGTGTTTGCTTTATGCAACTAAGAGACTAAATTACTCTTAAAACAACAGCGCAGGATTAAGGATTCTCTCTCTTTAGAAAAGTAACTTGAAATCAAAATTACACACACACACACACACACACACACACTTCCTTAATTATAAAAAGGGCTAGTTAAAAAAAACAGTAGTCAATAGTAAAAGGCAAAGAGGCATCAACCAACAAGCAAACTTGAATCTAATTCTTTGAGCTAAAAAAACATTTTTTTTTGTCATATCTAAGGGTAAATGTCTAGTTTTTCACCCATTATCAGAAACCCTATTTCAAAACATGAATGAAGATAATCCATTTGTCCTAAGCAATTTAGTGTTTATGGATAAGAAATTAAGCTTTATGATTCAAAGAATTTACTCCTATGATCCTAGGAAGTTATGTTTCAGGCAATTTTAATTTACAATTCATTTAAAGCTTTTATTTTAACAACAATTTTTGTTTTTCTTATGTTTTATGTTCCAATTTTTCTTTTCTTTTCTTTTTTTACATTTTTTTAACGTTTATTCATTTTTGAGAGACGGAGAGAGAGCACAAGCAGAGCAGGGGCAGAGAGAGAGGGAGACACAAAATCTGAAGCAAACTCCAGGTTCAGAGCTGTCAGCACAGAGCCCCACGCGAGGCTCGAACTCACGGACCACGAGATCATGACCTAAGCCAAAGTCGGACGCTTAACCAACTGAGCCACCCAGGAGTCCCTATGTTCCTATTTTTCTTGAAGCCACTTTTGCAGGATTTTAATCCAGGGAGAATAAAAGGTGATACTTTCTAAAAGAAATTATGTGCTCTGTGGCTCCAACAACACTGATAGGTCAAATCTGTTCATAGATTTCTTCCTCCCTCCCTTCCTTCCTCTCTTAGGCTCCATGCCCAATGTGGGGCTTGAACTCATGACCCTCAGATTGAGAGCTGCATGCTCTATCAAATGAGCCAGCCAGGCACCCCTCTATTTATAGATTTCTTGAACAAAAAATTCAGAAACTAATATCAGCTACTAAGAAAAAAAATCAGCAAATTTTATAGACTATGCTATTTTATATATTATATTATGTATGCTATTACATATTTATTAATATATAATACCATAATATTTATTATACAGTATATATAACATAATATACATTACTGTATATAATTTGTACTGATATTATATTACAAATTATTAGTAGAGCATTTCATCCTAAATACAGTTTATAATATATTATTATAAATTATTAAGAAGACATGCATATCTGGCTCAAGAAATGCAGGCATATGCTCCAAATTTAAAACCACCTAACAGATTTGGGATCTATTATAAACATTTTTAACTTCATTAAATTTAAACACTTAATATATAAAACAAGAGAATCACATAAGAATTCTATACCAGAAATGTTCAATTAGTGACTGGCAACAATATAGATTGAAAAAAAAAGTTATGAAAAACTGAACAGGAGGAAAAAATTTTTTGGCTGCCTTTCACAATAATGGCTCACATGTATCTCAGAAGAATGAAATCAACAGCTTCTCTTATTAGCTCTAACTAACATAAGCTAACTGTAACTGTTTCCTCATCATGACCAACTATTGAGATTTGTAATTTGACGGCATGTTAATTTGTCCTTCAGACACTGTGGCTGTCAAACCAGTGTGCACAACAAATAAGCACTTATCTTATTAGAAGTCATCCATAAAGGAAGTGAAGAAACTGTCAACTCACTCCACTAAAGTAAACATGTTACGACAACGTTTCCAGGAGCTTTCCTTTTTTGAATGCTAAATTTAAGCCTTGGGATAAAGAGCAAGTGTAATAAACACAAAAATGAAAGACTCCCTAGAGTTTAGCCTTTTATTACAGCATCTGATTATTATTCTAGTCCCCAATTCAAATTGTATCCTTTATGGGTTGTAGGGGGATGGGCTAAATGGGTATGGGGCATTAAGGAATCTACTCCTGCAATCATTGTTGCACTATATACTAACTTGGATGTAAATTAAAAAGTTAATTAATTGAAAAACGTTAAAATTTTTTTTTAAAATTGTATCCTTTAACCATATTTGATTTTGTTTTCAAACAAGGATGATCAACATGTAAGTTAATTATAAAACAACAGTCTCATTAGTACCAAAATGAAGTTTTCAAGACTCTGTTAAGAAAAATCTTAAACGAATCTTAGAGTTCTAGAAATGAAGTAAAAGCATTCACAATCAAATACAGAACTCAATAATAAAAGAGAAAAAAATCTAATTTAAAAATAGTTAAAAGGTCTGAATTGACACTTCCAAAGATGTACAGATGGCCAATAAGCTCATGAAAAGATATTCAGCACCTACAGTCATGAAGGAAATACAAATCAAAACTGCAATGAGATAGCACTTCACTATTGGAGAAATTCACTGGAACGCTCACATACTGCTGGTGAAAACGTGAAATGATGCAGTCATTTTGGAAAACAGTTCCCCAAAACATTAAGCATAGAATTACCATAGACCCCAGCAATTACATGCCTGGGTATATGCTCAAAAAAAACCAAAACCAAAACCAAAACCAAAAAAAACAAAAACAAAAAACAAAAAAAGAAACGGATGTCCCCACAAAAATGCACACAAACGTTCACAGCAACACGACTCATAATATCCAAAAAATGGAAACAACCCAAATGTCATCAACCGATGATAAATAAAATATGGTATAGCCATACAATGGAATATCATTTGGCAATAAAACAAAATGGTGTGTTGATACATACTACAACAAGGACACACCCTGACAACATTTGCTAAGTGAAAGAAACTAGTCAAAAAGACAACATAGTGTTATTATTCCATTCATATGAAATTTCCAGACTAGGCAAATCTATGGAGACAGAAAATAGGTAAGTAATTGTCTAGAGTTCAGGAGTTTAGGGGAAAACGGGAAGTGACTGCTAATAGGTATAGGATTTTTTGGGGGGTGATGAGAATGTTCTAAAATTATGGTGATACACAGCTCTTATGAATATACTAAAAACCAGTGAATTGAATTTACATATGTAAATTATATACAAAACTGTCAAAATTTTAAAGCAAAAAATATCCAATATAGACATAAAACTCTACATAAAACTTCTATAATGAGAAGGTCTATTCTACTTGGGGAAAAACAATATATATACTTCTTAAGTCACAATCACCCAATGGAGCACATTATAATAATATCTATGGAGCAAAAAATGTAGATAGATTAGACATGCTAGAAAAATCAAAACTTGTGGAATCAATTCTACCAAGAAAAAGAGAAAACTGAGAAGAGAGGACTACTTTAATATCCTAAGCTTAAAATTATCGAAAAGAGCACATAACTGCTTTTGTGAGGCAAGCTTGTTAGGATACATACCTTCCTCCTCATAACAGAAATGTAAAAAGCAGTATGTAAATAAAGTGTGGGAAAGATGACACTAACCTTATTAAGCTATTTTAAATGGATGTGATCCCAGAAATTATCAGTAACAAAGGTCTAAAGGCTGAAATAACTGCTCTGTTTACCCTCTCTAAAATTTGCTTTTAATCTGAGAAAGCTTTTTTAATTCATTTTAATTTGTGATGAAGGGCTGTGCTATAGACCAAGCTGAAAGAATAGTTTTAAGTGTTATGTAGTTTTAACAAATACAGACGATAAACCCCTCACAAAGTAAGGCCAGATTATATAGCTGGAAGAATCTTGTATTTTAATATTAGTTTAAAATTTTTTGATTTTATAATTAAAAAAATTTTTTTAATGTTTTCATTTATTTTTGAGAGGGGAGGGGAAGAGAGAGGAGGAGACACAGAATCTGAAGCAGGGTCCAGGCTCTGAGCTGAGCACAGAGCCCGACGCGGGGCTCGAACTACAGACTGTGAGATCATGACCTCAGCTGAAGTCAGACGCCCAACCGACTGAGCCACCCAGGTGCCCCTTAATTTTATAATTTTAATTTTAATATCCTAGTAGTCTTCTTTTGGGAATTTTGTTGGCCTTTAGACCAAAAACTTTTTCATCTTATTGTTCAGAAAGCCATTTAAAAGTAAACAGAGCAAATGTAAAATGTAGCTCAGACCGGGATTGTCACAAACTCAAATTAAGTCCAAATTAATAAATTTCAATTGCTTTTCCCTTAATTTCTCCCACTATATCTGCTTGAGAATTTCACTACACAGGGATTATTACATTGGTCTCTAGTACCAGTTTTAGAACTGGTTTCCACAACAAGTTGGAGAAACTCCAATCACTTGATAGCTTTTCAGGGTTGGAGAAACGCAATCACTTGCACTTTCAGAGCTGGAAAAATCTGGCATACAGCCTGTATCTCGGAGCCAAGCCACACAAAATTCAGTGGGAATAAAACAACAACAACAACAACAACAACAACAAAACTTTGAGGCAGACAACAAATGTAATGTCAATATGGATACTGACATGACGACATTGGGAAGAGCTGTCACCTTGACTATTTTACTGCTTCCTTGTAACACTGTTCTCTTCCATAAATGAAAGGCAGATGGGGGCCGAAAATCCTTGGGTTGTTGCAATATTAAGCAGAAAGCAAATGAAAACAGAGCTAAACAAGTTGACTTGAAAAAAAATTCAACAGTCATCGTTCAACAATGTATCACTTTAAACTTTTCACCTCTACTCCTGTCATTGACTTCCACTCTTGACAATTCACACACAGTAACCTCTCACTACCAGCAGCCGCACGGTGCCCCACTAAAATTTTGCTCATAAAGATTATTAACATGTGTTCAAAGGTCACCCTCTCCCTAAAATCAGAGGCCTGAGAAGTGAGGCCTAGGTTGTTTTGGTCCATTCATAATCATCCTGGACAGTCTGTTCTAATGAGTGCTCCCTGTCCTTCTTGAGGAAAGATGCCACCAAGTTTATTAAAGTAATCATTTTACAACTCTGCAACTTACGCGAGCATATTCCTATGACGCTTTCATTACAGTACTGGATTTGAACGGTTTACGTTTGGGGGTTAACTGCTCCCCACTGTGCAGTGACCAAACCTCACATTATTAGTTTCTATTTGTTGAAAGTTACTCTCTCAAAGTTATATAACATTTATTTTCCATCCGACTATGCCCAACTCCTAGAAAAATTATTTTTTTTAATCTCCCATCCTCCACCACTGCTTTCTCACACTCAGTAAGATGCCCAGACGCTACTTTCCGCACATTTACCAACGATGTGGACTGACCAAACCTGGGCAAAAACGCACTGAGGAGGGAGGCGGGGGGGGGATACAGGGAAAACAGTGTCGTTTGCATCCTTTGGTGCCTAGGGTAGTCCCAGAAACAAAGTGAGGAACCGGTTAGGGTAGCATGTTCTGGTGGAGGAGGCAATGCTCCACTAATCTGAGGGAAAAGGAATTAGGCAGATAAAGCAGGGCGATTACACCCCCAAATCAGGAAGCGTCTTCCTCTCCCCTCTGCCAAGAGCTGGCATAAAGGGCAAAGGCCCCTGTGCTGGGGACTTCTTGGGAGTGGAGGGGTAAGGAGGAATAATGCAAAGGCAGTCGGTTCTCCCAGGCAAAAAGGGAATGTAAAGGCGGCCAGCGGACAGAGCGGCTCCGCGGGCTATTTGAGGATAAAGAAGGAGGGCGAGGGGCAGGCTCGGTGGCCTCCCCGGGCCATTGCCCACACGGCGAGTCCAGAGAGCCCCGCGAGGTCGTTACCCCAAGTCAGAGCTGGGCTGCTCCGAGATTTCCAGGAGTCAGTTCCTCCCCCCCGGGCGCGGCCTGCGAGGGCCGGACGTCCCCGCCCGGGTCCCGGCACTCACCCCTGCGGTCTCCTCAGCCGAACATTCCAGCAAACTCCGGTCGATGGCCTGCACCTCGGGCTCCAGCTCCGACGCCATCTTCCCTCCTCTTCCTCCCCAGAGCTGACGCCGCTACCGCCGCCCCGAGGGCCGCGGCCTCGCCACAGCCCCGGCTGCAGAGACTGCCACCCGTGTCCCAGGTAGTCGGTCCGGAGTCGTCCAAGCGGCCGCGGGTGAGGAAGAATAGTGGTGTGAGGTGAGCTGGATAGGAGGGAAGACGGCCTCCTGTCCTCCCTCCCGGGCTCGGCGCCCAAGAGTCAAGTCACTGCCTCGTCCCTGCCCGGGAGAAGGACACAGAAAACCCAGGACCTGGCACTCTCGCTCGCTTCTACCGCGTCCGGCACCGGGAAAGGAGCAATAACACCCAAGAGAGGAAGCAGAGCAGTCTGGGAACTGTAGTCCTTTTTGACCGGACTGGGAAGCAGGTGGAACCCTTCTAGCGTGCCCCCCGAAGGCATTGTGGGAGTTGTAGTCCATCTTCTAACGAGAGCGTGGGCAAATGGCAGATAAGCAGGTGGGGCTTTCCTGTACAACTAGAATCCTGGGAAGAGACTAGCGGAAAGAAGCTCCCACCTGGGAAGAGGCAGAAGAGCACGTCATTGTGGGAACTGTAGTTTTATTCCCCCCAACTCCGTTTGTTCATGTTTGTATCCCCAGATCCTAGAACGGTGCCTGGCACGTGGTAGATGCGCAAGTACTTTTCAAAGCCTAGCATATGGTAGGCCGACAGATGGTCGCGAAAGAACGAAAGAATTACGTTTTATTCCTACAGTTCTATGACCCTGCCATTCAAAGTGCCTTCATCTTTTAGACTGTAACCGAGATGGACATTACCCAAATGTTTTGAGATTTTAAAATATATTTAAATATTGTTAAAGAAAACGTTTACAAGTAATTTAGTTATGACCACTTATCAAAATGTATTATAAATATTGCTGCAAAGGAAAAGGAGCCTACCAATTAAGTCTATCAAGATCCACTCTTGGGGTGCCTGGGTGGCTCAGTCGGTTAAGCCTCCAACTTCAGC